GCGCACTCTTGTTTCCAATAAGCCCTGTCCTCACTCCCAGAATTGCTCTAACAGCATATAGCCTTATTAGTCCCTGAGGAGCTTCCTTTTCTTTCTTTTTTTTTTTTTTTTTTTTTTGGCGGAACCGGGGATTGAACTCAGGCCCTTGCGCTTGCCAGGGAAGCACGCCATTTCCCAGGCCTCTGAGGAGCTTCCTGATCGAAGTTACTGCAGTAGAATCCACAGCATTCTGAGGTCAAAGTTTCCAAATCGGTTTTGAATCTAAAAGTTTTTCTAGGACTCTAGTGAGCACAAATTAGAGCAGAGCACTGCGCTTTCAGTGTCAGCGTCCACTCTGAACTGAGCGCTTATTCTCAGTGCTTCAAATTCCCATCTATAAAGCACAACAGCCCAAGTGTGGTGGTGCAGCACGGGAGAGGTTGATAAAGGAAGGTCACCCAGCTGTTAGAGACCAGCCAACACTACATGGTGTTCCCCACTTCAAAGGGGAAAAAAGGCAGTCTAATGAACATAAGGCACACCACAGGACAGGCTTTTGTGATAGCAACAAACCATATGGTTTAATACCTGAGTGCAGCAAGGCAGAGTGACAAAGCTATCTGCACCAAAGAGAAGTGTGTCCCATTTATATGGATGGAAAGAGGGCAGTCAGGAAAATTTAATAAACATCTGTGGTTAAAGTTTTTTGGCAAAACTCAGTTTTCTGACATCTCAGTGCACAGGCAGTCTCTGAAGCATCTGGTGCAAATTTTGGGGTGTCTCCAGATGTCACCAGGACCTGCAAAATTCCTTGTCCTATTTATCTCCTTTCTTGTGCTTGCCAGTGACAATGGTACTGAGCTGCGTTCCCTGCTGAGAGAGGAGTTCACTGCAGAAAGTTGTGTTCCGCTGGCAAGCAGACTGTGTTGAGGATCCAGTCCAGTGGGAGAATTACAGGCAGAACCATCCCTGCTTGGTCTAGCTGAGATCTGACAGAGTAAGGTTCCTGAGTACTGAACAAAAGGGGTTGAGGACCAGGGAGATAGCTCAGTAGGCGTTAAGTGCCTCCTGCCTGGCAAGCACAAGGTCATGAGTTCCATCCCTGGTACTGCCAAAAACAAAGGGGGTTGAAAGAGATACTAGGGATACTATTTTTGTGAAAGGACCAAGCAGTCCTGCATTAATTATTATTATTATTATTATTATTATTATTATTATTATTATTTTGTGTGTGTGTGTACGTGTGTGTGGTACCAGGGATTAAATTCAGGACCTTACGCTTGCCAGGCAAGCACTTATTCTACTGAGCTATCTCCCCGGCCCCAGTCCTGCATTAATTAAAATTAGCATTCTTTCAAATTTTTTCAGTTAAAGTTACTGTAAGAGAGGCTAGGGAGATAGCTCAGCGGCATAAGTGCCTGCCTAGCAAGCACAAGGTCCTGAGTTTGATCCCTGTACCAAAAAGAAAAAAGTTACTATAAGAAACAATTATTATAATGCTACTTCAGTTTACAAGTCTGCACTGGAAAGAAAAGACCACAAAGAAATGTAAGTGACTGATCTATGTCCCCTTTATCTCCCCTTATTCCACTATATTCACTATAATGGAGGGCACAATTAGCCATAAAGTCAGAATTTGCTTTTGACTTTTGTTGATTTTTAAGACAGGGTCTCACTATGAAGTCAAAAGCTGGTCTTGGACTCACTATGTGGACTCACTATGTAGCCTAGGCTGACCTCAAACTTCCAGTGATCTCCTTGCTTCAACCTCCAGAGTCCTGGGATCACAGGCCTACACAGTTATGCCCAGCTCTTGCTTTGATTTTTTTTTTTTTTTTTTTTTCCCATCCATCAGGTCATAGTGGAGGCTGCCATTTAGTACTCAAAAATGTAAGATGGAAACCTGGACATGGTGGTGCATACCAGTAATCTCAGGTGGCTGAGGCAGGAGGATCAGAGTTGGAGGCTAGCCTAGGCTACATAGTGAGTTCAAAGCCAGCCTGAACTACACAGCAAGATGCTGTTTTGAAAAACTAAAAAAAGGGTTGAAAATGTAGTTCAGTGGTAAAACACTTGCCTAGCATGCATAAGGGCCTGTATTTGGTCCCAACACCACCAAAAAAGGAAAGAATTAGGTTAGATGAGATAAAGGATTAATAAGAAAAGGAAACAAAGATGAACATTTGTGGACAGGCAATATTGCCGCATTGCTGACAGGCAAGTTCTCTAAAAACTTTCTGTAACCATTTACTTACATACATTTTTGAGTTACTACAAGATTTAAAAATTTTAAACAGTTAATAAAAGAAAAATATAAACAGTTCATGACACTAAATTCAACTGTTCAGGACACAAGGTATCTTAAAGAGCAAATCTGGGCATTGAAATTCCTTAGGACCTTGGGGTCTAGTGAAAATCTTTCTCCTATTGGTATTATCTGTAGTTTATCCTTGCAGTATACTGCCTTGTAAACTAGAAATGGAACTGTAGCAACTCTAGGAAAATCAGCAGTATTACAAGACTGCTGGAGAAGAGGATGTCTGAGAAATCTAGTCAGTGGTTCACCAGGAACTGGCTTCTGCTCAGCTTCCCTCGCTCCCTGAGGTACGCAAGTAGGTGTCTTCGCCTTCTCCATGTGACTTTTAACCCGTACTTCTCCTCTGGGGTGTCTTTAACCAGAACAGGCCCAGGCTCTGGGCTGTCGGGAGTCTGGCTGTAGACACAGACTGGAAAGCTGTTTTCCCTCTGTCGTGGGGGACTGAGATCTTCCCTCACAGATGGCCCCGGGGTCTGGATGTCCAGGGCAGCAAAGACACACAGTGAGCTCTGAAGTGTGTGTGCTGATGGTTCTCCACAGCTCTGGGGACTGAGCATCGGAACCAAGGGCTGTCTGGAAGCACCCTTTTCTAATCCACTGGGGCACTCCCTGCCTAAGGGGATTCCCGGTGTCTCTAGACTGGAAGAAGACTGTGGACTCTCAAAGATCAGATGTGGGAATTTGCAGGTTGATTTTCGACTTGAAAGTCTTGCCTGATCTCGATGACGTTTCCGGCGTGCTGGAAACAAACTCTCTGCTGTCGTATCAATCTGAGGTGATACCTAAATATTAAAAAAAAGGAAAGTGAGGTCAACCAACTACCAAGTACCTAAGAGAAGAAACAACATCCAATGACAAGAATCTTACTGTGTGTGGTACTAGGGACTGAACCCAGGACATGTGCACTGAACTGTATCCCTGGTCCTTGTTTTTTTTCAATTTTTCCTTTTGAGATAGAGCTCACTAAGTCTCTAATTTGCTCAGGCTAGGCTTGAATTTGCAATCTTCCAGCCTCAGCCACCCAGAGTGCTGGAATTAGAAGTGTGTGCCACCATATCTGGCTTTTTTTGAAACCAGAGTCTTAAAGAGGTCCGTGATAGCTATAGACACAAAGGAAAATAGCCATATAACGAAATGATTACATAAAAAGATATGAACTTTGGCCAAATTAGTCTCCCTGGCTTTGTTTTCTCTGTGTAAAAGCAGAGACACTGTCTCTTATGCCTCACCATACCGTATAGCTGTGACCTGACTGTCTAAACTTCTTGAGGGCAGGACAGAAAGTGCTGAGGTAGTAGGTCAGACTGCACATGCTTTGCACACTCAGTGCTCTGGGATCAACCCCAGCACCAAATAAACAAACCAACAAACACTCAAAAATTTAACAGGCCAGGGGCTGGAGAGATGGCTCAGTGGTCTAAAGCACCTACTTGAAACAAGCTTGGCAAAGCACAGGGACCGCGGTTCGATCCCCAGCACCACATGCCAGCCAGACCCGCCCCCTGGTGGGCTGAGCTGGCCACACACACACACAATAAATAAATGTAATAAATAAATGTAATAAATAAAAATAAATAAATATTAAAAAAAAAAAATTTAACAGGCCAGACATGTGCCACCATGTACTTGTGCTCCAGCACGTGGGACGCTGAGGCAGGAGGATCACTGTGAGTTCAAGACCAGCCTGAACTACATAGTGAGATTCTGTCTCAAAAAACAAAAACTCAGTGCCAGGAGATAGCTCAGTAGAATAAGCGCTTGCCTGGCAAGTGCAAGGGCCTGAGTTCAATCACTGGTTGGGGGGGGGGAGAGGGAGGGGGAGCCTGCCCAAAAAACAAAAACTCAAACAAGACAAACTTAATAAGGGCAGATTTTGTTCACCGTTGATTCCTCTGCACCTAGAAGAATGCCTGGCACAAGGAAAAGCCTAGTAAATAATAAACGGTAGACTGTTAAAACACAGAATGAGCAACTAGCAGCCAGCCTAGGGTGGCACATGCCTATAATAAAGCATTATACAAGGCTGAGATAGAAAGATGCAAGTTCCAGGCCTACTTGGGTAACCTAGTAAGACTTTATCTCAAAATAAAAAGGGGGGGGGTGCTGAAGACGTAGCTCAGTAGTAGGAGGATCACTGTGAGTTCAAGACCAGCCTGAACTACATAGTGAAACATTGTCTCAAAAAACAAAAACCCAAATGAGACAAGCTTAATAAGGGCAGATTATTCAACCCCCGTGTTGAATCCCCAGGACCACACATACACATAAGAAAGCAACTAGCATACTTGTGGCCCACACCGAGTATTCAATAAATGTCTATTTCTATCAGCATCTATAGGATTCTAGCATTTAAGTTTCTCGTATGCTCATGAAGCCAGTAATAAGGTTCCTCTCAGCAGTCTTGGACCAGTTGTATCTATTAATCATATGCTTTATTAGGTCCTTTTGCTAACTACTTCTCTGTTACACAGCAGGTATATTCACTTCCCAGGACTTTTTTCCATTTTTGGTGTCCTGGTTGTAGAATCCAGGGCCCAGTATGTGCCAAGCAAATGCTCCTGCCGTTAGGCTATATCCCCATCCCATCCCAGGGCTTTTGTTTGAGGCAGGGACTTGCTATGTAGTTCAGGCTGGTCTTGAACTCACTATGTAGCCCATGCTAGCCTTGAAGTTCAGGCACTGGCAAGTGCAAGGGCCTTAGTTCAATCCCCAGTTCCGCCAAGGGAAAAAAAAAAAAAAAAAGAAGTAGTTCAGGCAATCCTGCCTCAGCCTCCCACGTACTGGGATTACAGGCCTAAATCACCACTCCTGGCCATCCCAGGGATATTAAACTGTAAAATATGACATGTGCCATTTCCGTGGTTTTCTTTTCAAAGTTTAATCTATTCATAATAAAGTACCTATCTAAATATCTTTCACATGAAGTTTGGGAGATAATCACATTTTTTTATACGTCTGCCATTTGTCTGGCTTTCTCACCCACCTAATGTTACTGAAACTTTCACCATGAGCTTTTCAAGAGGAACCTGGTGGGGACAAGTCCAGCACCATCCAACCTATGCCTCAATCTGAATGGTGAAAAGAAGATACACAGGAAGGACCAATGACCAGTGCCACAGAGTGTACTGCTTTTCTGACTCACGACTCTGCTTGTTCTTTGGAAGCCATGGTTCAAGAGCCGGCATTCAGAAAAGTTTATGAGGTAAAAGTCCAAGAATCCAAGGGGCCTACCCAGGAAGCGGAGGTTGGGTCAATGGGCTTGCTGGGCACCTGCCGGGTGTGAGAGGGGCGTTGCTGCACGGCTCCAAAGTGGTGCTTGGGGCCCTCCAATGGTTGGTGGTGGAATAGCAGCTGGGCTTTGTGGGACAGCTGGCCTCGTCTCTTTTTGGGAGGCATCAGTAGGTGAAGGAAGAGCAGTTAGTGACCACATGATGCTGGTTGCCTTCTGATTGAGGGACAGAGCCCAATTCCAACACATACCTGCACAGTAGAAGAAATGAAATGTAGAGAAAATAATGCGGACAATTTCCCAGTTCTTCCTGACGTCCTGCTGGCCACTTCTATCATAAACCACCATCTATCTGACCTCAGGGTTGTAAGGAGCACAGCCTCCTACACTACACCACTAAGCAAAAACACAGCATTCATCTTCAACAGCACTTGTTCAATAAGGTTTTTTTTTGTTTTGTTTTTGTCTTTTTTGAGACAGGGTCTCACTATGTAATTCAGGCTGGTCTTTAGCTCACTTTGTAGCCCAAGCTAGTCTCAAACTTACAACAATCCTCCAGCCTCAGTCTCTGGAGTGCTGGGGTTGCAGGTGTGTACCACCACACCCAGTTAATAGCTACATATTGAGCTCATGTTAAATGCCACAAATGGCAATTTATCCAACAATCATCTTTTGCTGTTATTTTGAGATGGGGTCTCACTATATATCCTCACATCCAGGACAGTTATGGTGAACCTTTTAGAGTTTTCAATGATAACAAACAGCTGGCTGCAGCATGCACAGCTTCATCACCACTGGTCTAGCCTAGATTTTGAACCCAGGGCCTTTGCAATAAGCTGTGTCCCAGCCCTTTTTTTAATATTTCATTTTCACTGAGCCATCTCCCCGGGCCAAATAATTTTTTTTTTTTTTTTGCAGAACCAGGAATTGAACTCGGGCCCTTGCGCTTGCCAGGGATGTGCTTATTCCACAATATTTCATTTTCAGATAGCCCAGGCTGGACTGAGACTTGTCATCCTCCTGCCTCAGCCTCCCAGAGTGCTGGCATTGCAGGAATGCACCACCACACCCAAGCAATAACAAATAAGGGGCAAGCACTGGCAGTACATACATAGTTCAGCAGTCTAGCACTTGCCTAACATGCAGGAAGCCTAGGGTTTGATTCCCAGCAATGCAAAAAAGAGACAAAAAGGAGCGCAGAGGCTAGAAGGGACAAGAACCAACACAGTACAATACTAGGATACACTATACTTCTGTTTGTGCACCACCACGCCCAGTTTGCAGTTGTATTGTTTTGCTTTTTAAAATTTTCACCCTGCCAGGTGTGGTGTAATTACATGCCTGTAATCCCAGCACTTGGGAGGCTGAGGCAGGGAGGATCTCTGCAAATTCAAGGCCAGCCTAGGTCAACACCACCTTAAACTACATAGTGAGATCTTGTCTTAAAAAAAAGCTTTTTTCATCCCCAAATAATTTGAACATAAACAAAACCAGACTGGATAATATAATGGACTACTATAAACTCAACATCTCACTTTTAACAACCATCAACCCATGCTCACTTCAGCCTGTACTGATCCATCCATACTTCTATCCATTTCCCTTACTTCTGCATTAAAAGGAAAATATATTTATAATCATTGTCTTCTTCCCAATAACATTATTAAATGTATACACACAAACACAAATTCCTTGTCAAATATCCAGTCAATGTCAAATTTTCAATTGTTTCATAAATGTCTTTTGTTTTATTTTTGTTCTTTTTGAGCAGGGTCTCATTATGCAGCCCAGGCTGGTCTCAAACTCACAACAATCCTGCTGCCTCAGCCACCTGTGTGCTGAGATTACAGGTGTGCACCACCATGCCCAGTAAATGTTTCAGAAGAGTTTTCCTCTTCTTTCTGCTCCTCCCCACACACCCCCCCCCCATCTCCTTCTCCTTCTCCTTCTTCTTCTTCTTTTTTTTTTTTTTTTTTTGGTCTTTCTGAGACAGGGTTTTACTAGGCAGTTCAGGCTGGCTTTGAACTTGCTATACAGCTCAGGCTGGCCTTTGAACTCAAAGTAATCCTCCTATCTCAGAAACTTGAATGCTGGGATTACAGGCATGCACCACCACATGTGACTGTCATTTTGACAGCTCAACAAAGCAGTGGTACAAAAGGAGAGAAGTACCCTAGAAGTAGGGTGTCTTAGTTACTCTTTTGTCATTGCTGACACAAAATACCTGACACCCAAGGTTAAAGGACTAAAGGTTCATTTTGGCTCAGTTTACAGAGGTTTAGGTTCATAGCTTGCTGGCTCCAAGGCAGGTCAACAGGGCAGAAGAGCATCAGAGAGGAAAAACAGCGCATGACAGGTAAAGACAGAAAAAGTAGCAAGCAGCAAATGACAAGCAGCAACCCTCTTCCTGCCCCCTCCCCACTTTTTTGTCTTTTTGAGATGTGGTTTCACTTCGCATCTCAGGCTGGCCTTGAACTCACTTTGTAGCCCAGACTGGCCTCAAGCTCCCAGCAATCTTTCTGCCTCAGCCTCCCAGGTTCTGCTGGGATTACTGGCAGGTGCTACCTCGCCTTAATATCTTAACCAGGCTCCCCGGCCTTTGGGCAGGTAGTGCTCACACCCAGGGAAGGGCAGCCTTAATCTTAGTTATCACACTGTGAATCAACCTCAGCATCGCACCCCTGATCCCAAGTCCTACTCTTTAGATCCAGCTACCTCTGAAAAGCCCCACCTATGACTGACTCCATGAAGCTTTAGGGAGACATCTAGATACAAGCCATAATATAGGGGGGCTGATGAGGAGGTTCATGTGTCACCTGAGTGGGGAATGATGCAGGCCTGAATGTGGGCTGTGTCGGTGAAGACAGGAGGATGCCACAGACATGGATCAAAAAAAGGTCCAAGGCAGGGATGAGTGGCTCTCATAACCAGATCGACTATTGCAAGAGCTTCTTCAGTGGGATGGTGGGACATGAGTTGTAACACAGTAGGTAGAGGGGCCAAGGGAGGTGCTGCTGAGCATTCTGGACAGAATCAACAGGGTGGAGGGCTTTTGCTGCTGTGTATTTACAATTAATTTATTAGGTCAATGACATTTGATTAGGCAGAGAAGATACGGGGAAAAGCAAGGAATCACTGTCCTGACAGAATTAATATTTTAGGGCAAGTATACATTTAAATATACCCAGTTGTTCCCTTGTTCACCAGATATTTTTTAATAAGTCCTACTGTGTATCAGGCATACTTCCAGATGCTAGAAACACACACTAGAGAACAAAATAAACTCCCTGCTGTCAGGGCACTTAGAATTTAGTGGTCAAAGTTAAAAGGACAAAAATCCAACAGGATAAGAGGTGTCACTCAGTGCTTCTTTAGACAGCACTTAGGGAAGGTCTCCCTGAAGAATTAAATGCTTTTCCTACATTGCTGAGGGCGGAACCTCGTGCCTTGTGCATGCTAGGGAAGCTCTCTGCCACTATGCTACATCTCCCCTCCACCTTGTAATCCTCCTGCCTCTGCCTCCCAAATAGCCTGGATTAAAGTAGTCTCTCGCTATTTTGAGGCTCAATTTTTGCAGACTCCCTGTTTCATGGGTTTTCAAAAAACATTAATCTAAATTAGTTGCAGATTTTGTGCCACATTACGGGATTTTGCAGTACCATACAGTATACATCTGTTATTAATATTACATAGGTTTACAAGTTTAGAAAATGATTAAGAACGTTAGAAGTCCTTTTAAAAGTTTGGGAAAGGTTTTAAAAGTTTGGAAAATAAGTGTGTGGCGCTAAAAAGCCTTAAAATATATATAAATGCTAAAATATAACGTTGCTACTTCGCTAATTTTCACTTATCGTCGGGGTGTCTGGAAAATAACCTCCTTGGGGCTGGTGAGATGGCTCAGTGGTCTAAAGCACCTATTTAAAACAAGCTTAGCAAAGCACAGGGACCACGGTTCAATCCCCCAGCACCACATGCCAGCCAGCCCCGCCCCTTGGTGGGCTGAGTTGAGCTGCCCCCCCCACACACACGCATAAATAAAAAATAAAAAAAATTTAAAAAAAGAAAATAACCTCCTTGATAAGTGAGGGACCACTGCATAGGCATGTATAACCAGCCTGGTTAGTATTTTAAAAAGAAAGCAGGGCTGGGGAGATAGCTCAGTAGAATAAGCGGTTGCCCAGCAAGCGCAAGGGCCTGAGTTCAATTCTGGGTTCCACCAAAAAAAAAAAAAAAAAAAAAAGAAAAGAAAAGAAAAAGCAGTAGGCACTTTATGCAAAACCCAGGGGAGGAAATTCAGTGGAAGGGCAATAGCAGGAGCGATGGTTGCAGCGTAAAGAGCTGAACTGCACCTTTTGCACTGGGCAGGGGCAAATGGGCATTATAAAGTCTCCCACTTTTTTCTGTGTTTGTCTGCTGTTTGAGATAGGATGTCAGTATGTATCCCAGGTTGGACTCCTCCTGTCTCGCCTCTGGAGTGCTGGGGTTGCATGTGTGCACTACCACACGCTACCCAGAATGACCAAGCCTCTGCTTCCTCTGTGTCACACACCCATTTTCTCAGCCCAAAGCCATCGCTCCAGTCCTGGGACTCACCGGGCCTCTTCCTGTCACACAGCAGCCTTCACACAGTTCACTCCGCCTACTCAGCCATCTCCCTGACTTCTGTGTAAAAGGTACTGGATCTTATGCTCAGTCTCAGTTCAGCTGAAAAGCCTTTCCTGTCTTAACTAAGTCAAGATCAGCTCATCTTAAACATTCAAACATGGTAGTCAGGCCTGGGAACCTTTTTATAGTCTTGGCTATTCTGGAGACTGAGATGGGATAATTCCCTGAGCCACGTGGTTCAAAGACAGATTGGGCAATACAGCAAGATCCAGTCCACAAATTAAAGAAAGGGGAGGAGCGAGAGAGGAAGGCGAAGGGAAGTATCACTGACTTCTAACTTCATTTTGCAGCTATAACTATTTGTTTAGATTTTGGGGAACCGTCTATGCTCCCCCACCCCCCGGGGATCGAACTCAGGCCCTTGCGCTTGCCAGGGAAGCACTTATTCCACTGAGCCATCTCCACGGCCTATGCTCCCTTATACCCCCATCAGACTCGAGGCTCGGGGAAGAAAAGCCTGTTTATCTTCAGGGCCCGGCCATATAGCAGTTCCTCTGCAAAAACTGCTGCATAAGCAAATAACATAAAACACTCTGAAAAGTACCTATATATAAAAGCTCGACCAAGACAGGCCTGCAGCAGGATCTGAGGCAGGGCCTGTAACATACGTAGATCTGAGGATTTGAGGCAAAAGCATTGGCAAGCATGGGGCAGGGGGCTGTAATCCCAACATTCTGGGAGGCTGAGGCAAAAGGATCGAAAATTCGTGCCAGTCTGGGTATGGCGAAATAAGGGCAGGAGACCTGCTGGGCGCGAAGGCCCCGGGTTTAATCCCTACTACGGACACACACACACACACACACACACGCACGCACGCACGCACAAAACAAACAGAAACCGGGTGAAGACCACAGACCGCCCTCGGACTCGACAGAGCCGGGAGCCCTACGGTCGTTAACAGATGAGCGGAGGACGGTTGCCCGGCCGGAGCTCGCCCTCCCGCAGCGTGCCCGGCAGGCCGGTGAGGCCGGCGTGCGCAGAGCGAGCCGCCCGGCACCGCCGCGTCCCTGGCCCCGGCC